TAAATTGGATGCAGTGGCTCATACCTGTAATTCCAGCTTTATAGAATTTTTTGAAGAGATATTAGGATAAGGAATTTTTAAAATGCCACTTAGAAACAAATCTAGCAAAAGATGTATAAGATCACTATTTTAAAAATTGTAATTATCTTCCAGCCTGAACATGGCGAAACCCCATCTCTACTAAAAAATACAAGAGTTAGCCAGGCATGGTGCTCCACAACTACAGTCCCAGCCACTTGGGAAGCTGAGGCACAAGAATCACTTGAACTCAGGAGATGGAGGTTGCAGTGAGCCAACATCGTACCACTGCACTCTAGCCTGCACAACAGAGTGAGACTGTGTCTCAAAAAAAAAAAAAAAACAAACAAATCTTCAAATCTTAAAACCATTTGGGGTGTAATTTAGCAACTTCCAGTAAGTTTGAAAATGCATACCTTAGACTTGGTGGGGGTGGGGTCTAAAAAAAAAAAAAAGAAAATGCATACCTTACAGCCCAATAAATAAAATCCTAGGTTTATACCTAAAAACACTCTCCCAGATTGCACAAGAAGCTCATTGAAGTTTATAATAGTAAGGACTAAATATCTAAGTGACCATCAACGGGGAAACACATAAACTGCGGTATGGTCACACAATGAAATGCTATATAGCAGTCAAAATAAATAAACAAAAGCCTCATTTATCAACATATTTTGTTTTCTTTTTTAAAAGGTAAGCTATCAGACTACAAGTAAGACATCTAGACATGGAAAATGAAATATGGTGATGGATACTGACATATGTATCTAACTATGAAATTACACATGGGAATGAAATACATCAAAGTCAGGGTAGCAGTTACCACCAATAAAGGAAAACGTGGAAGGGCCGAGTGCAGTGGCTCAAGCCTGTAATCCCAGCACTTTGGGAGGCCGAGGCGGGTGGATCACGAGGTCAAGAGATAGAGACCATCCTAGTCAAAATGGTGAAACCCTGTCTCTACTAAAAATACAAAAAATCAGCTGGGCATGGTGGCGCGTGCCTGTAATCCCAGCTACTCAGGGAGGCTGAGGCAGAATTGCCTGAACCCAGGAGGCGGAGGTTGCGGTGAGCCGAGATCGTGCCATTGCACTCCAGCCTGGGTAACAAGAGCAAAACTCCGTCTCAAAAAAAAAAAAAAAAAAAGGAAGAAGTGGAATGGGCTTGGGGTGACAAACACAGGGGGATTCATTCACTTTTGTATTATTTTCTTAAAGTATGATGAAATATTAATAGAACTAGACAGAAATATGCATGTTCATATTAGTCTGTATAGTTTTCTGTAAACCTGAAACATTTTATCATTAAAAAAAATAGCATTAATAGCACAAAAAAGGTCTTTTACAGGATTTGGGCAATCTTCCCGTTCGCTCATTTCAGATATGGTATACACTCTACTCTCTGAGAGAAATTCAGCCACCTGTCTCTGCTTCCCCTCCATATCTCTATCTCCTGTCCTCCCATGTGACCAGCTGCCGGTGAGATCAGACTAGAGCTTAGAGGACTGAAACAGCCCCAAAGGCTTCCAGCTCAGGCCATCTGTTCCATCTCTGATAGCAGAGGCACGAGACAGGTAATAATAAAGCATCCCTTTGCCTTCCCTTCACCACTTTCTCCTATGTACTTATCTTCCTCAGTGACCTCTCTAGAGGAGGCAGGGATGTCTACGGATTAAGACAGATTCCAGCATAGCTGGTTCCCTGGATACGGTATCATTTAAAGGGTGCCAATTTCAATCTCAGGGTGTGGTGAAAGGGACAACTCCCTTGGGACAGTGAGGCTTGTTTTTGTTGTTTTGTTTGCTGGGACCAGAAATACTTGTATGTCCACCAAGAAGATCAATAGCATCATTTGGTTCAGCCCAAGCTCTTTCTATGGAAAACTAATTGTGCTTGAGCCAAAAACTCCATGGAAATTAACTTGATTTTAAACTTCATTTATAAAAGGTCAGAAACAGCTCAACTTTCTATCCTCGCTCTTTAGTAAAATTCTGTAGTGCTTACTGCAGTAAAGCATTAATATATTTATTGTCACCAGAGCATCAAGGTTCATAGCATTCTGCAAAATTTGATTTCTCAGAAAAACCTTGGCTTGAGCTCTTCAGCTTCCAGGAGATGGTCACTTATGACCCAAAGGTTTACATCTCATCTCAAAGTAAACAATAAGCAAATCTCTTCCTTCACTCAGAATCCTGCACAGACCCTACAATGCCTTTGTGTTGCCCTCGGTGGGAAAACTAGACTCCCTAAGAGGACACAAATGGTCCTTCCTGATGTGAACCGTCACTAGAACCACATCCATCTTATTCACCAGGGTATCACCTGCATCCGCCACAGTGCCAGGTGCTTGATAAAGGCAAGAAGACACGGGACATCTGCTCCTCCCCATCCCAATCTCGCTCCAGCCTCTTGGGCTTCTACTGTACACGGGTAAAATATTTGGACATCTGCAGGAAGTGTGTTTGCTCTAGAAAGGAGATGCAGATTTCACTCTGATTTACAGTAGGTTGGGGAAACTCAGCAAGGCTGACGAGATGTAAAGCATGGAGTAAGATGCAGCCACCCCTGGGACTGGCTTCCTCTATGAGAAGGCAGGATGTACAGGAATGCAGAGAACGGGGCTGCGTTGGGATGAGTTCTAGAGGCCTGGCCTTTCCTTCCGTCTCTTATTAAGCCCCTCACCCCTTGACCCCTACCATTCAAATCATATCATCCCTAGTGATTTGGTGCATTCTACCAAAGTACAGGGGAAGTGTTCCCAACACCCCAATTCAGGTACATTTGAGAGAATAACAATACTGAGGGGGCCCTTACTTTGTGCGATAATCTATTACATACATCTCAACCAATCTTCACCATAACTCTATGTGACAAGTACTGACACTGGGTTGAATTGGTTTAACCGTAACTATTCACCAAATAACCAGGAAAAATCATAACCAATCCCTAAAACCTTCAAATAACATGCAAGTTCCCTGAGGTGGTTTCTAAGGCCCATGTGTTCTGGCCCTGCCCACCTGTGTTCCCTCAGCTCATGCCACCCTCTCCCTTGCTCCCTGTGCTCCAGCTCACTTGCATTCTCTCTCTCAAACTCCCTTCCTAGAGAAAGCTGGAAAGGTAGATCATTGCCATAGGCCTTGAGTGTGTACTTTATTCTACAGGGATTAGCAACAGCTGGAATACACAGAGAGTAAGACCTAAAAACAGTAGGTGATTTGAATATCCCATAAAAATGTACTCATATATTACTTAGGTGACTCCAAGGAGCTACAGACCTCAATAGCCAGCAGCATCCCGTAAGCCATCTCCCCAGTACTCTTTCCCATGCAGGCACAAATTGAACGCCTGAGACATCCTAGACGCTTCTTTAAACCCCACACTTAGCCAGTCATGCTGACAATGCACTTGAATAGTCATTCCTCTTGATTCCCAAAGCCACATCTTTAATTCAGACCCTCATTTCTCACTTAAGTTAGAACAAAAATCTAATTGGTCTCCCTGGGCGTAATCTTCCTTCCCCTCCAATGTATCCCCCAAACTATAACCAGAAAAATCTTACTAAAATACAAATTGAAATATATCAGCCTTCCAACTAACTCCTCTCTCCAAATCCCTAATCACCACATTAAAAACTGTAACTGGCCATCACAGCACTGAAAATAAAATTCCAACAGATTCCAAAGCTGTCTGTGATCTTCTTCCACTCTAAGCTCCCATATTCTAGTCATGCTAAATGACTTAAAGTGTCTCAAATTGTATCCCATTTTCACTCATTTATCAAAGGTCATCTTTGCTAAAGAACTTTCTTAGAATAGCTCCTTCATGAAGAGTGAACACAAATGTCCTATGTCTTCTATGACACCTACCTAATCATGGCATTTTGATGATTACAGGTGACTAAAAGTCAATTTATCAGTTACTACAAAGTTCTGAAGGCAAAATGTCTCATTTCTGTATCTGTACTCCCTGATACTAGGGGGACCAAATAAATATTCATATACTTTGTCTTAGAAGATACTCAGAATTAATTCTGGTTCTTTCCCCATCCTTTCACCAAATATCTGCTATGCTCTGTAATAGACTTGCTGAGTGAAGGTCCAGCTTCTTGAGTACCTCCTGTGATAGAGAAATCACTTATTAAACACCGACACCAAGAAGGTCTCATGTTGGACATTATACACACAACTCCAATAGAAGGAGCTCACAGCTCAGCCTGACACCTGACAAGAAGACCAAGCCCCTGCTGTGGCTGCAGCTGGAAGCTGCTGACTTCCAGATTGTCAAAGGGCTCAGAAACACTTGGAAGAACAGATGAGACAACTGCTAGAATTGGGCATGGGAAGAAGAGCCCTGTACTCAACAGAGAGGAGATACACTGGCCTAAGGTTAATGTCCAGGAGGCCCCCTGAGTGGGCACATTCAACCAAATGGGAAAGCAAAGTCTGCTAAGATTCAAATACTAACCAGATGTAATTGTATCAATGTTAAGTATAAATATTTAAACTTTTAGTCTGGGCACAGTGGCTGACGCCTGTAATCCCAGCACTTTGGGATCACCTGAACTCAGGAATTCGTGATCAGCTTGGACAAAATAGCAAAACCCTGCCTCTATCAAAAATACAAAAATCAGCCAGTCATGGGAGCATGTGCCTGTATTCCCAGCTACCAGGGAGGCTGAGGCAGGAGAATCGCTTGAATCCAGGAGGCGGAGGGTGCAGTGAGCTGAGATTGTATCACTGCACTCCAGTCTGTCTCAAAAAGAGTCTGTCGCCCAGAGAGACAATCATTTCTAAATGATTTTTTTAAAAATTTTAATCATTTAGAAAATCACTTTTTAAAAACAATAAAGTTGGAACATTTTCAAACAGTCAACACTGCTGGGATTTCCCCAGAACTCTTCAACCTCATGTTGTCAAAAAGAAAAAGCCTAACGGCATCATTTTGCCCTAATGCCAGAAGAATGTAAGTGAAAGGAGAAAAAAATATTTGAATAAATGATTTTATTGACGGAGATTAGTTACTCAGATATTAACTGGCTGTAGGCAAAGGAAAGAAACATGGTGAAGTCAGGTTTGTTGGTAAAGGGGAGATGGTAGTAAACACTCTGCCCAACAAATATTCATAATCCAGGGTTTTCATATTTCTCCATGGTTCAATTTCTCACAGGTCACTTTCCATTCAAAGGATTCTGGAGACCAAATAAGACAGGACCATTTCACGTATCAACCCAGAGTCTTTAGGTCTTCTCTCATCCAGTGAAAATGCAATTTATTTTTCGGATTCCTCTGGAAGATTAATAAGTCTCTTTCGCATTGCAATGCCATGCTCCCTGCTCTTGTTCCTCTTTTCTATGTACTGGAAAATAAAAGGAAGAGGGGGGAGAAAAGAGAGAGCAGATTATGTAACTATAGCAGTTTACTGTTTAGAAATATTTGCAAAATATAAATGTTCTTTGAGGTTAACAGGGGTTAAATTTTTTAAAAATGTTCTTATATTTTATTTAACTAAATCTGAGATTGGAAATAATGACCTTGAAGAATATCTAATATTGCACAATTTCACTCAATACAGTACAACATCTACATCCTAATAGTGTACAAATGATTGCTCAATCAATTTCTTCCCAAAATATAAATTAAATAAGTATTTAAGATGGATAAATTCTGTCCATGTTCTCAGGGGCTCACAGTCTAACAAGTCCTCTAACTTCTGCTGAGCACCCCTAGTTGAGGGGCTCACTACTTTGAGAGGTAGCCTGTCTGACTGCTGGAGAATTCCAGTTTTTCCAAAGCTTTTCATTTTAAACCAAGAAGTGCTTTCCTGTAAACTACCACCTTTTATTTCTTCTTCTCTGCTATTATTTTCAAACATTTGATTACAGATAACCACTTACCACCTTTCGGGCTGAACATTACTGGTTTCTACAACTGATGCACAGAACATAGCCTCTGTCTTTTAATATCTAACCTATAAAATCACTTTTATTCTATAAAGCACTTTAACATCAATGCCTCTTACACCCCCCCCCCAAAAAAAATCACAACCAAAACTGAATACAGTGCTCTCACAATGACAGACATGGACTACAGTGGGCCTAGATCTTATGATCAACTCACATTATATTTCTTTAGGTATTATTAAAACAGTATCTGGCTCTTAGCAACCATATTATCCTAATGACTCATACGAAAATATACAGTCAGCTGAACTTCCCAAGGTTTCTTAATCATGAACAGTTAACAAACCTGATACTCCTCCCCAAATCCTATGTTTCTTAATCAGGTGCACATAGATGCTGTTTTCATCTCAAGAGGCTTTCCGTCTAGTATTCTTATCTGGCCAGCAGGTTATAAATAACAGGTGACACAGAGCCTGGCACTTAGATACTCTCAAATAGCCTACATTTAAAGCAGAGAAACTTGATTGTTTTTATATGTATATATTTATATGCTTACAATATATACATTAATCCAACACACTTCAAAGGCAAATGAATGTGTTTTCCCCTGGGCAGAAGAGGAAAAGGGTAAAAGTAAATTCAAATAGAAAAAATTAAAAACATGTTAACAGTTAAACATCAAAATATTTCAGGAGCCACAGATCTGGAGAGCAAGGCCACAGAAATTACAGATTAGTGATACAGAGGTAATCAGGGATGAACCCTGCCACCCAAGAGAGAGTAATGTGGAAATTCATGACTTTGAGTTCCTTCACTCTTCTGGGTCAGTAACTTCAAATATAAGAAGTTGGGCTAGGCCAGGCGTGATGGCTCACGCCTGTAATCCCAGCACTTTGGGAGGCTGAGGCAGGTGGATCACGAGGTCAAGAGATGAAGACCATCCTGGCCAACATGGTGAAACCCCATCTGTACTAAAAATACAAAAATTAGCTACAAGCATGGTGATGCACACCTGTAGTCCCAGCTACTTGGGAGGCTGAGGCAGGAAAACTGTTTGAACCCGGGAGGCGGAGGCTGCAGTGAGCCGAGATCACCCACTGCACTCTAGCCTGGCAACAGAGCAGAGCAAGACTCTCCCCCACAAAAAAAAGAAAAGAAAAAAAAAAGTTGGCTAGACAATCTTTAAGCTCTTAAAACTTTTTCTTAAAAGTTTTGATTGAAGGATTCTAACATATCTCCTAGAATGGTAGTTTTCAAACATTTTTCCTTCTTTGTCAAAAGGCAAAAGGCTACTTCAAATTACACATGAAGCACCAAGCCCCTTCAAAGTTATTCACTTTATCTATCATACATTAAATTTACTTATAAAATTGTAGGGGGAAAAATCAAAAACACTATTCTACAACAAGGAGGATACCTGCTCAGAAAAAGCTTTCATATATACCTTTAATCATGTCTACTAGATTGCCCCCAGCAATCAGATTGAAAAGGGTCTTAAGGGTAAGTCTTCAGAAGTAAATACTTTGCAGCAGGCTGATAAAATAAGTTACAGACCAAATTAAAATATAGGCTACATTAAAATATGTGAAGATATCTCCAAAAGAAGTCAAGATGGTCCCTGAATAAAAGGGGGGAAAAGGTGAATACTAAGTTATTCACAAAACTCCATCAAACAATACAGACAGAATGAAAGGCCAGTTAACCCCAAACAAAACAATTAAGAAACACAAAAAAGCATGCCACAAAAGTATTATTAGTGATTTTTTTTTTTTTTTAAGTAAGAAGAACAAAAGGCCAGGTGCAGTGGCTCACACCTGTAATCCAACACTTTGGGAGGCCAAAATGGAACAACAGCTTTAGCCCAGTAGTTTGAGACCATCCTGGGCAACACACCAAGACCTCATCCTTTAAAAAAATAAAGAAAGAAAGAATAAGAGCAGTGACACAGCAGAGTCTCAGAAAGAAATGGCCATACGCTTTTCTAATTAAAAGCTTCACAGAATGAAGTAATCAGATGACACATGAAGCAAAGAGTAGCAGGAGAGCATTTAAAGCAAGCATTAAGAGTACAGAAGAAACACATCAGTGCAGACTCAAAGGATTAGTGATGGACAAGCAGCCAGAAAAATATCTACCAATTAGGGAATAAAGCAACATAAAACTACATAGAGGACTTAGAAAGTAAGTCAAAGAAAACACATAAAATGTATACGAAAACAAAGTCAGACAAATAAGAAAAGTATCTGCAACAGTCTACCAAATAGTCACTAACAGAAAGGGGAAGAAATCTAAACACAGGAAAAAAGCTATGTTATGCAGCTGCAAGTATGTAAAAAACAAATAGCCACACCAAGTAAAATAGGATGAGCTATATTTTTCCATAAGCTTACTATTTATTTATTTTATTTATTTATTTTGAGACAGAGTCTCATTCTGTAGCCTAGGCTGGAATGCAGTGGTGTGATCTAGGCTCACCACAACCTCCGCCTCCCAGATTCAAGTGATTCTCCTACCTCAGCTTCAGGAGTAGCAGGGACTACAGGCACCCACCACCATACCTGGCTAATTTTTTTGTACTTTTAGTAGAGATGGGGTTTCACCATGTTGGCTAGGCTTGTCTCAAACTCCTGACCTCAGGTGATCCTCCACCTTGGCCTCCCAGAATGCTAGGACTACAGGCATGGGCCACCACACCCAGCCAATATTATCTTTAAGAGGGTCTCACTCTTGTTACCTAGGCTGAAGCACAGTGGCGACCTAGATAGATAGTTCACGGCAGACTTGAACTCTTGGGCTCCCTAGTGATCCTCCCATCTCAGCATCCAAGTAGCTGGGACAAGAGGTGCATGCCACCACATTTGGCTAAATTTTAAGAGATTTCTTAAGAGACAGGGTCTTACTATATTGCCCAGGTTGGCCTGAAACATTTCACCTCCTGTGATCCTCCTGCCTCAGCCTCCCGAGAAGCTGGGATTACAGATGCCAGCTCATAAGCTTACTATTAAAATAGAAACACTGCCCTAGAGGTAGTTTTCATATAGATTGTTTTTTTCATATAAAGGACAAATATGTTCAATAAATCATTTAAAAACACTAATAAGGCTGGGCATGGTGACTCATGTCTATAATCCGAGCACTTTGGGAGGCCAAGGTGGGAGGACTGCTTAAGGTTAGGAGAACGAAACCACCCTGGGCAACACAGCGAGACTCTTACCTCTACAAAAAAAAATGTGTAAAACCTTAGCCAGGCACAGTGGTACACACCTGTGGTCCTAGCTACTCAGGAGGCTGAGGTGAGAGGATCCCTTGAGTTTGAGGCTTCAGTGAGCTATGATCACCCTACTGCACTCCAGCTTAGGTCACAGAGCAAGACTCTGTCTCAAAAGAAAAAAATAAACTATTACTCTTGACTCAGAACGCCAAAATGTTCTTTGACCAGTAAAGGTAAGTGTCACACTGAAAAGGAAATCCAGGAAGCAGGGAACAAAAGCCTGAGCAGAAAACAAAATCAAAAGAAAGATGCTGGACAACTTAAAATATTATATTTAAACCCTTCATCTGAGGCTAAAACAAAAAAGTTCAAAAATAACAAAAATGAAAGTTGAAAGGCAAAATTTTAGCCATCATATATTTTTAAAAGATCTGGACACAAAAAATCTGATGTACAAAACAGAAATTGGATCAAATTTCTTTTCAAAGGTTTAAAATGCACTCTGCTTGGTTGGCAGTACCTGGAAAAAGACAATGAACTATGTACTTTGGCTATGTACCCAAGTCCAAATCATAGCCTAAAATCAAGCTCAGGAGATGACAGTCTTCCAAAACATGTCAAATTCGATCCCTAGGGCTTACACAAAGCATAACTATAAAGAAATTCAGAATGTTAAAGCTGAGAAGAGCCTAATTCTAACCTCGTCAATTTATGTGTGTGTGTGTGTATGTATGCATGTATGTACGTATATATGCCCGGGGTTTTAGTTACCTGCCAATCAGCTAATAGGTGACTGATAGAAGTCGTTCTGCGGCCAGAGATGCAACTTCCTACACCTTAAAATTCATCCGGATGATCTACAGTAATTATCATAAAGGAAGTTGTTTTCCTCATTTGTGTTCATGGCAAAAAGGCTGTGTTCTAAAACTGTCCCCAGAAAAGCTTTCACTTCTTCTCTTTAACAGAGAGAAGGTCATACATGTAAACTCAATTTTCTGTTACACTAAAATTTGGCAAAAGTTCAACAATGGCAGTAATATACAACATTCAAAAATGATCTTTTTCATTGTTCAACCATATCCATCCTTTGACACTTTTCTTACCTCCTCCTTCAGGCATTTTCTCACCTCCCGATCAAAATCGTTACAATGACCAAAAAATTTCAGAATGTTGTGCTAAAAGGAAGAAAAGGAGCAAAATATTTCATCCCATAGTATGCCAAGGTTTAGGGCACATAAAATTTAAATCCTCCTACAGAATGAGTTTACAGTGTTACTTTGTTAATAAACAATAGTTAAATCACATGTATAAAACACAGTTGGCCACTGAACGTGGATTTCAACTACATGGGTCCACTTATACATGGATGTTTTTCAGTAAATATATTGAAAAAGTTTTTGAACATTTGTAACAATTTAAAAAAACTCACAGATGAACCACCATAGCCTAGAAATCTCAAAAACAAATTAAGAAAAAGGTAAGGCATAAATGCATAAAACGTGTAAATACTAGTCTATTTTGTCATTTACTACCATCAAACATATACAAATTATAAAAAGCTAAAATTTATCAAAATACACACAAACAACAAAACATAGATGGCACCACTCAAAGTTGAGAGAAATGTAAGCAAACATAAAGATGTATCACACCATAGCTACATTACCTGAAGTATATACTAAACTACTGTAATAATTTTGAAGTCATCTTCTATTGCTATTACAGTGGGCTCAAGTGTTACAAGGATCCACTTAAAACACCCTGGGATACCAATAAGGACACAGCAAGCAGGTCATGTTTACTGCAATAACCATAAACCTTCAATAACATCATGGGACCCACAGGAGGTGCCACTGGTAATGCTGGAAGTGCTCCCAAGCAGCAGAGAGAAGTTACAACATCACAAGAAAAAGTTGAGTTACTTGAAATGTACTGCAGATTGGGGTCTGCAGCCATGGTTGTCTACCATTTCAGACTGACATATATCATCTTGTAAACAGAGGACATAAACTTGCAAAATGGATAAATACAATACAGTACTATAAATGTATTTTCTCTTCCTTATGATTTTTTCTCTAGCTTACTTTATTGTATGAATACAATATATAATACATATAACATACAAAACATGTGTAAATCAACTATTTATGCTATCAGTAAGCTTCCAAACAACAGGAAACTCTCAGTCAAGTTTTCAGGAAATCAAAAGTTATATGTGGGCTTTCAACTGCGTGGGGATTAGTGCCCCTAACTCCCAAGCTGTTCAAGGATTCAACTGTATACAAAAGAACAAATTATCCTGGTTCTTCTTACAAAGAAGGAATAAATGTTCTACAAGTAGAAACAAAGTTTTAAAGGCTTTTTCTAGATAAAAAGGAAGCCTACTTAATAACTCACCAAAACCTCACAAAGACAGTGTAAAAGTTTTATCATAACCTAACACTCCTTTCTTAAGGGAAATGTTAAAAATTGTAGCACAATCCATTCTCTATTATAGGGCCTGGTGTCAAGCTGCAGTGTGACCACACTGCCATACACAGGCAATGGATAATTTCACTAGCAAACACTGTTCTGTAAAAGAGCTATCTAATGAATGCCTAGCGCTGGAGTCCTTTTCTCATTTCCTCCCACTTAAACTGTCACCAAAATACATCAAATACATAACACGGCCAGGCGCAGTGGCTCATGCCTGTAATCTCAACACTTTGGGAGACTGAGTCAGGAGGATCACCTGAGGTTGGGAATTTGAGGCCAGTCTAATCAACATGGAGAAATCCCATCTCTACTAAAATTACAATATTAGCCAGGCGTGGTGGCACATGCCTATAATCCCAGCTACTCAGGAGGCTGAGGCAATAGAATCACTTGAACCCAGAAGGCAGAGGCTGCAGTGAGCCAAGATCACGTCATTGCACTCTAGCCTTGGCAACAAGAGCAAAACTCCATCTCAAAAAAAAAAAAAAAAAAATCACATAACACTATCATTCGATGCTTTATAAAAATCGTATAAATAAGACATCGATTTACAACATAAAGAAATCTGCCTGAAGTTCAATCTGCTTTGTTTCAAAAATAAAATAAAAATCTCCTAATTGTTTCAAGTCCTATTACTATTATCGTGGTAAAAAGTATGAGTGTTCTAAAGCAGGTGAAGCCGAAGCCTGAAGTTAAGAACCTGAATTTTAGTAAGAACATAATTAGTGTGTTTGTACTTCATGATTTTCAAGGGTGGGTCAGACACCATGGTGATCTGCTTTATAATGGCATGTCATAAATGCTGAACTTGATAGTTGTAATAATAAGCACAAATTTTCCTTTTTGTTCTAATTAAGGCTTTCATGAAAACCAGACAACACATAATTAATAAGCTATACCTCATGCTATTTATTTTTTTCCTGCTTTACCACCACTTTAAATGTACGTTTCAGGTCCACACTGAAACTGGTCAGGTTTTCTAGGAAGCATTTAAGATAGACTAAAGTCTGCTATTTGTTTCCTAATGACCTTTACAAAACAAATTTTTTAATTAAAAAAAATTTTTCATTTTTTATTTTGCTTTTTTCTTTCCTCTATCATTTCCAAAGAATAAATATTTCCTGTGTATTTTTCCTATACTACTTCCTCAACAACAAAAAAACATGACAATGAATTTCTTCCCCTTCTAGTCAAGTAAAAATAAGAGAAGGCAATATTTCATAGTTTACATTTATTCATCATTCTATAAATGTACATCTTGATTCAAAAATCCATGACATAAATTAATGTACATGCTTCCTTTTACCTCACCATTAACTAAGCTAAAATGAGAATTATACTCTTGTGATGTTACATGAAATATATTAGACCCAAACGACCCAGAGAAATTGGTGGAAGAAATGCCCGAGGGCTACAATTTTCTTATACTTTCATGGAGTAAGTCTCTAGTGCCTGGTGTCTATTTCTTGAGAACCAAAACAACTGAGTAATTGACTGAATAAGTCAATCAACAGATATCTGAGCACCAAGAACAATGTCCCAGGCACCAGGGATACAGAAGTGAGCAAAGTGGACCTGGGCACTACTTTCACAGTACATAATCAGAGGGAAAAAGACAAATAAGAAGTGACTGCCATAAAGCAGTGTTTCTCAAAGTGTAGTCCAGAGACCTTTTCAGGGAAGGTACAAGGTCAAAACTATCTTCTCAATAATACAAAAACATTTATTTTGTTCATTTTCGTCCTCGCACAAGGGCATTGTGGAGTTTTCCCGAGGCTTCATGAAGTCTAATTATCACAGCAGACTGAATATAAAGGCAGATCTGAGAATTCAGGTATATTTTATTAATTCAGACATTAAAAAAATGCGAAAGCAATGCCATTCTTTTCGCTTTTTTCTGGTTTTAAAACAAGATTTTTGTGAAAAATAACTATGCTAACATGTAATCATAACATGTAAAAGTATAATTTATCATTGTAACTTTAAAATAAATTTTTTAATTTATCAGCCTTCATCACTTCTAATCCAATAAATATTGGTAGATATCACCCACATAAACAATAGCTGCCTGGAGTTCTCAATAATGTCAGAGTGCAGAGGAGTCCTGAGACCAAAAAGTGAGAACTGCCACAAAGTGTGTTTGATGCTACCCAAATAAAGTGATTGTACCAGGAGAATCTAGGACAGGAAAGGGAAAGGAAATGACCAACTAAGCTGAAGAAAAGCTGAAGGATAAAACCTGGTTTAACAAACAGTAAGTTGAAGCAGGAGGAATGCTCTACGTTCAGCAAAGGAAAAAGTATGTATAAAGGCTTAAAAGACAGAAATACCATTCTCCCATATACCTGCAAAAAGAAAAAAAAGAAAGAGACCACAGGAATGAGGGGGAAAGAGCTGTGGGAGAGTGGTAAAACCTAAGACCTACTTAGGGATAAGTTTCGTTAAGGACTTCAACAGAAGGCAAGAAATTTATAATACATTCTACAGGCAAAAGGATCTATTCAAAAGGTAACAACAGGCAGGGTGCAGTGGCTCACGTCTCCAATTGCAATACTTTGGGAGGTCGAGGTTGGTGGATTACCTGAAGTCAGGCATTTGAGACCAGCCTAACCAACATGGTGAAACCCTGGCTCTACTAAAAACACAAAAATTAGCCAGGCGTGGTGGCAGGTGCCAGTAATCCCAGCTACTCAGGAGGCTCAGGCAGGACAATCACTTGAACCCAGGAGGCAGAGGCTGTAGTGAGCCAAGATCACACCACTGCACTCCAGCGTGCACAACAGAGTTAGACCCCGTCTCAAAACAAAACAAAACAAAAAAAAGTAACAATGATTAAACTTATTCTTGAAAGATCACTCTAAATGCAATATGGAAAATGGATTTAGGCAAAGAAGAAAACAAAACCGCCAGAAGACCAGATAGGAGTCCTTTACAGGTGGCCCCAATAAAAGTGTTGGCACAGACTATGGCAGTGGCACTAGCAAAGGAGAACAATGGTTCAAGAGAGATTCGGTAGAGAACGAACAGCACCTGGTAAAGGCTAACAGGAAGAGGTGAGGCAGATGGAGGAATTAAAGATGACATTGACTTCCAGCTAAGAATGACAGCAGAGGTTTTTTAAAGAAGGTAAGTCTCTGGACATGTTGAGTTTATTGGCAGAACAGTTAAGTCCAGTATCTGGTTGAGATAAACACACCTGGAATTCAGAGGAAATCTGAGCCAAAGATACAGATTTGAGAGTTATTGAAACCATTAAAGTGAATGATTTTTTGCAAGAACATGTAGCCGACGGTAGACAGGAGTCTGCCAAGGACACTGAAGAGTGGCCAAAGAAACTTACAGAAAACCAGAGAAGATAAAGGTATGATAGAAGCCTGTGGAAGGGTGTTTTGAGAGGGAATCAAATGCTGTTGGGAGAAAAGTAAGTTAACTACTACTGAAAACATTCACCAAATTTGGCAGTAGAGCAGTCATTCATGATCTTTGTCGTTCTGCGACGCTAGTGAGGGTAGAAGCCAGTGTGTAAGAAGCAAGCAGTATCCTCTCAATAGCCAGCTCTGAAAGGGACGCTAACACAAAATACCAGAAGGCTGGGATTATGGAAAGGAATCTTATATATTCATCTTCCCAGGATAGAAAAACTGTGGGCATTTCAAAACGCTAATAGGAAGAAGAGAAAAAGAGGGAAAATATAAAAATT